CCTCTCCTGCTGATGCACATGAATCTTCTCCTCTGCAGACCGTTACATGCACTAACATCTTAGAATCTTCAGGAAGGTAACAGATTATTTCTCTTCCTCCTCAGAAGCTTCTTGATTCTTTCCTCCGTCTCCATCTCTCAGCAGCTCTTAAAGCGCCTGAGAGGCTTTGTGAAAAACTTTAGAAAAAGGTTTCACTACGTCTCAGTGGGAGAGAGCCTTCGTGAGCTACAGGAACATTTGGGGATTATATTGTTAAAAAAACACCTGCGTCGTAGTTCAGCCCAGTATAGGGGCCTACTTTTGTCAAAATGTCTGAAAATGTGATGAAAAAGCAACCGAATGAAGCCTTGCACTATGGCAACTGCAATAATACAGTAACACTCCTTACATCAAGATTCCCAAAACACCTGTCGGTACCATACATGTGACACAATGCACTTACGGGGCACTTTATTGTGAAGTTGAATGTTATTTTACGCTGCTTTCACTCAACTTTAAGTAAAATAGCAGAGGGGTACAATATAACGCCAGGCTTGCACAATATCAAAAGTTGTCATACATTGCAAAACGTAAAATATCCAAAAATGCAGGATGCGCAACATTTTGTGAAAGGCTAAATACGTCAAAATATACATTTTATTGGAAGTACTGTTTTGGAGCTGGGAAATATCCCCGACCATACAAATCTTATTATAAAGACTTTTACAAACGTTATTTTTTGGCTACAGATACTGATCAAAAAAGGTATTTGCATTTTTCAATTATAGAGAGAATAATGAACAATCCCTCGTGTACTGTGATTTGCACTACATGAGTCAAAATAAGGCCACACATTACGATCACATCAAATTTATCTACAAATCTCTAACAGCCAAATATACAGAACGATGCAATATCATAACACAGCTTAAAAGGAAACACTTTGATGCCAGATAGCATCATGTTGAGGCTTAAAGATAAAGTACAGCTTCTGTGTTTTGGGTGTTGCTAATCTCTCAAATAGCAATAAAGGCAGTGTGTGTTATTTAGTAAATTCACTGTAGTGGTGTTGCCAGCTGTTGCGACATTAAATCCGTTTATATTTATGTAGTTTTGTGTTTAATAATCCATGTAAAACCAGAAACATTCAATCTACAAAATTACAATAAACAACATTGTTTTGTACACACAAACAAAAGTTGATATCAGCGTCTTTAGCAAACTGCAAAGCTGCTGAAGCGATAATAAAATTCAACATAAAATAGCAAACTCATAAACATATTTAATGAGTCCTTTATAAACGGAGGCTGTGGGCATGATGATGATACGTACTATTAACATGAGAGTTCACAGTGTAGAGTCACACAGGGCTCGATATCTGCCCGCGCAATTCTCACCAATCTGATTCATTCGACACACACGAGATTAGTTCTATCCTCGTCGTCACTCTTTATCAATTTAGTCTTATATCTACATACGATTATTCTTGCCAGTCTACTCTAAGAGCTCATTTACATAAGAGATGATCAGGAACGAAAACAACTAACATTACAAATAATGAATAATTAAATAAAGTACAAGGTAGCAGGAAAAAAACAAAACCAGGAGAAACATTCTGAAGCAATCTGGAGACATCGGGAGGGAGCCGGAGACAAACACACAAAAAAAAACCAAACAACAAAAAAAAACCAAAACACCACAAAACACAAGAGCTCTGGATGGAGTCAGGACTCAGAAGGAGACACCGAAGGAAGAGCTCGGAGCTCGAACATGAGTCAGCACTCAGACAGAGACACGCGCGCGGAGAGCTGGAGCTCTGATGGAGTCAGGACTCAGAGAGACACGAGGAGAGCTGGAGCTCTGATGGAGTCAGGACTCAGAGAGACACGAGGAGAGCTGGAGCTCTGATGGAGTCAGGACTCAGAGAGACACGAGGAGAGCTGGAGCTCTGATGGAGTCAGGACTCAGAGACACGAGGAGAGCTGGAGCTTTGATGGAGTCAGGACTCAGAGAGACACGAGGAGAGCTGGAGCTTTGATGGAGTCAGGACTCAGAGAGACACGAGGAGAGCTGGAGCTTTGATGGAGTCAGGACTCAGAGAGACACGAGGAGAGCTGGAGCTTTGATGGAGTCAGGACTCAGAGAGACACGGAGAGCTGGAGCTTTGATGGAGTCAGGACTCAGAGAGACACGAGGAGAGCTGGAGCTCTGATGGAGTCAGGACTCAGAGAGACACGAGGAGAGCTGGAGCTTTGATGGCAAACACTGACGGTTTATTTGGAGCTTCGGCCGGAGAATTCACAAGACATGTCACGGGCACGGTCTGACCACACGGTAGAGATGAGCTCTCCTGTAGCTCCAGGTTTGAACTAGCTCAGAGTGTAATAATCAACATTCTTCAATAGAGAGACTAAACAGCTGAGGACACTGAATCACATTTGTTGTCTCTTATGGCTCGAGGTCATCTACACCCCGAGAAAGATGTGTTCCAGGTGTCCCACAACAACAACTATCTCTGACAGAGAGCTGCCCGGTAACAAACTGGTAGCAACAACAACATGCTAGGGCAGCCCCTCCTTAAGGGAGATAGCGGCTGCTCAAGGTTTAGGGCGTCTGCGTCAGAGGGCGAAGGAAGACATGCAGGGGAAATTACTCCCTGACACTAAACGTAAATGTCAAGAATACATGTGTACCAGAGTTGTTGGGGAATAATTTGCGGAGGTATTTAACCGTAGACACAGTACACCGTCTCTCTTCCCACGGCACAGGTCTATCCAATCTGACCCATTTACTACTTTCCTCACTCATAACTGTTACATTTGATTGCGTCGAGGCTCTATGATATCCTCCACAGACGACATTTGAAGATATGAAATTGCTGATCATCACATTCATTGCATTTTGGGTGGTTTAGTCAACTTTGTAACACCCATGGTCCTTATAACAATTATACCTTTTTGATAAGGGTCATGGAACCTGGGATTATTTAAAGTCTGAGGGACAGAAGAGAACGTTTAGCTGTTTGAAGTGTATTTAACCTGTGAGACTCTCTTGGTCCAGAGGCATGGACTCTGCACGGTAACCTGTCTCTTATTATACTATAATATTTGACTTCAACCTTCTCTGTGTCTGTGTTTTTATTGATTCCTCTTTGTCTTAATCTTTAAAGTTGTGAGTGTTACATCGGATCCACGACTTGTTTTCATTCAGTGGTAGAAACAGACTTGTGGTGCGTTCAATGCCCCCTGTGAACGCCGCTCACCTCCTTGTGTGAGTCTTTGTGCGCCTCCAGTGTCTTCATGATGGTGAGCTCTGCGTAGTTCTTGAAACGCCCCGGCTGGTTCCTCAGGATCTCCTTCAGGACTCGGAGAGCCAGAGCCCGGATCGTGTGCTACAGGAAGAAGGACATTTCAAAATAAAAGCATCATACTTAACATCCGTCTCGAGTTACCCTGGAGACGGATAATCACTGTCGTGTCAAATGATCATATAATCATTGATCAGTTTCTCTCACTCACGTCTTTGTCTCCCAGCGTCTCCAGCAGCAGCAGCAACATGGTTTTGAAATGTTCCTCCCAGACCACCATACTGTCCTCTCGGGACACTTTGAGGAGCTCCAGCAGGGTCCCCCTCCTCTCCTCTAGGCCTCGCCTCTTCTCCTCTTGGCCTCGCCCCCTCTCCTCTTGGCCCCGCCTCTCCTCTGCCTGGCCAATAGAAAGCTCCTTCAGAAGATCCCCCACCAGCTGCAGCTGCTCCGCGGGGACCACTAAAAGAGAAAGAGGGTCCCATTAATAAACGCAAAAATACCTTTTTCTCATTTGTGTTGTATTTGTTGCATTTTGGGGCTTTTATTTTGAAAAACAAGTCTCATTCTGAACCCGCCGTCATGATATAACGGCTTTTATTTTTGAAAAAAAAACAGCTGCTACGTGAGACCCACCAAAAGAGGAGGAGGGTCCCATTAATAAACAAAAAAATAACTTTTGACTATTGTGTATTGTTGCATTTTGGGCTTTTATTTTGAAAAACAAGCCTCATTCTGAGCTTGTTTTAATGATATAGTAAGCTTTTATTTTGAAAAACAAACATGAGCTTGCTGTAATGGTTTATAGGTAATTGCTTAGGCTTTTATTTTGAAAAAAAAGCATCATTCTGAGCTTGCTTTAATAATATAGTAAGCTTCTAAGGCTTTTATTTTGAAAAACAAGCATCATTCTGAGCTTGCTGTCATGATATAGTTAGTTGCTTGTAGGTTTTTATTTTTGAAATACAAGCCTCATTCTAAACTGCCTGTAAGGGTACTAGTGTTCTTGGGTATTTTATTTTTGAAAAACCGAGCACATACCTGGGAAGCTCTTGGGGCTCATCTTGTTTTCCACACACTCCTGTCTGCTTCCTGCACAGAAAATATTTGTATACACGGTGAAAACATGCATTAAAGATACAGTCACTTTTATTTTGAAAAACCCAGACCTTTACTAATGGGTTTCATTTATAAAGCACTTCATATTTGACTTCAAATCCCGAAGTGCTACAAGCAGTGAGCATGAACAGTATAAAAACAGCACACAACACGGTAGAATTAATAAAAAGCAATAAAAAACAAACAATACAAATAAAATAAAAGGGTGGTAATAAATAAAAGGTGTAGGGAAGGCTCTATTGAACAGATGTGTTTTGAGGCGTTTTTTTAAAAGCTTCCACGGTCTGTGGTGCTCTCATGTGGTCGGGGAGAGCATGTCAACAGGTCGGGCGCCGAAGAAGTTTGGTAGCGGTGCTTAGCAGCGAGGGCTAACAGCAACGGGACAGCTGGAAGGCTCTCCCGTTAGTATACCTCACGTCCGGGAATGAAACAGAGGCTTGGGAGTCCGCCTGCTATCACACTAGTAGCCGGAGAGAGGCAAGCAGTCAGCCGGAGAGAGGCAAGCAGTCAGCCGGAGAGAGGCAAGCAGTCAGCCGGAGAGAATTTGGGCGATACAGCGTATCGTCACGACAGCCGTCAGGTCCAAAACCGTCAATAATCACAAGGTTTAGATATAAAAGCACTTGTTAAACAGACTCAAAGTTTAGCCATGTAACTATAGCTTAAAAGCAGAACT